TGTGCAATAACTTTAAAAATCCTAGCCTATTGAAAAAAGTTTTTACCTCTAATAATTTGCTATCATCCATGGGCGTATCTTCCCCATTCTCCTGTTTTTCATCCTCGGCTGTCAGCAAAGAATCATCCAACTCTTCATCTTCCCCTTCCTATAAAAAGACAACAGTAGGAGTACTGAGGGGGAGGGTTCTCAACACTTATTCAAATGGTGCTACATGATGATGACTTGAGGTCAATTAACAATACACTCTGTAGTTATGACAGAACATATGTGTTGAAATAACATATTTCTGTGTTTAGTTAATTTAGTATTACTGCATGAAAACATTCCATTGACAGATTTCATCAAGACAGCAGACTTAAATGGGCATACCTTTTCTTTCACATCATCTTTTTCCTCAGACTCTGCAAAATAAAGCATATGATGAAAACTCAAATGCCATAAATTTCTTTTTGGACTACAATAAAACAGAGAAATTTCTATTTGATTTGGCTAGAAATAAATGGGTTTTGATCTGATTATTGTAAAAACTTGATTTGGGTCTTAAAAATACTGTAATGCCACTAAGGGGTATAAACATTAAACTTGTTATCTTTTTTAATAACTATTATTACCATGAATTAGTAAATCAAGAGAGTCCTTGTTTCCATTCTTAATACAGATTTGCAAATTACATATCATAAAGACACACTTTTTTTTTCGTCAGAAAATTGTTTAGCTGCAGAAATGACCAATCACCATGTTTGTATTTTGTAAACTGTGATCAGTTTAACTTCTGAAGTTCTTCCGCATTCAAAAATTGAACAAACTTTCTGTCGTTAACTTTGTTAGTGTGTCCTTTTTTAGGTGTGCTTGTTAACTTACTGTCATTAACTTTATTAGTGGGCCCTTTTTTAGGTGTGCTTGTTGATTCAAAGTTGTACTCCTCAGGATTCTCTCCCTCTTCTTCCAAAGCCTAAAATTTTAAAGTTTTTATTAAAAGAAAGTGGCAAAAAGAGAGTAAATTTACACAAGAAGAAAAAATAATACTTGAGTGCTGACATGTGCAAAAAGATGAATGGAACAAAGTGATCCACTTCAAGTGATGCTTCATTTAGGCCATTTAAATGACAATGAAGATTGTAAATAAAAAATCATCCCTCCCAGATTCTCCATTTTGGGAATTGGCCCAAGGCCCATGGAATTGGGAATTAAACGACAATTCTAGAGTTCTGGAATAAATTTATTACTTAAATTTTTTGTAATGCCTCTAGAATTTTGAAGTGTCTGAACGGCCAGAATTTTGTCATTTTCTAATAGGGCTTTAGGCTTAAAGTATTTGCACTTAGTTCAGGGCACATTAACAAAATTATTCAAAAAGTGTTTAACAATGTTTTCTTTGCAAGATGAGAGGGATTTTACAAGAAGTAATCAACGTTCCGAAGCATCTGCTTCATAAATTGATAAGTGCAGTGCTATTTTCACATAATAAGCCATGTAAACATTGCCGAGCCTGCATATCTTTACTTCTTTTTATACATCAGTAAGACGGTACCTCGAATTACCGAAATGCCCCTGAATTACCGAAATGCCCCTGGAAATTACCGAAATGCCCCTTGAAACTACCGAAATGCCCCTTTAAAACTTAAATACTTTGGTTTTTTATGAAAGGTAGTGAGTGTATTATATATATTTTAAAAATTTGAATTAAAGGAAAATATTTACAAATGTGTGTGTTTTTTTTTAAAAAGGTTCGTTTATCTAATATCTAAGAGAGATAACTCTAGTAGTATTTTGTATTCATATTAGCAGAATTATTTTCTTGATGATGTCGATTTACATGCCGAATAATTTAAATTAATTAATTTAAACTTTTAAGTTTATTATGCTATAAGCATTTCATAGCATTTTAAGCATTTCATATAAATTTTACAACTCTGAACAACATGGGGTTTAGTATCCCAATGTGTACCGTTATCCATTAAAAAAAATTGCCGAGATTGCTATTTTAGAGAATGAGTCCGACTTTTCAAAAGCACTGGAAACGTAATAACAAAATGAAGGAGAGTGGAAGAGAGAGAGAAAGAGAGAGAGAGAGAAAAGAAGAAGGATCATTAAATCTTAAAATAACGGACAGTAACATAGCTTCCCGCTAAGACAATGTTGCAAGAATTATCGCTCTTAGAGGTCATAATATTTGAGCGAATTAAACGCATTTTTTTTACATTTGTGTTCAAAATACACAGTTCTGTTAATAAAATTTTTCATAAATTATCATAAAATGACTATTAGAATATAATTCAAGGGGCATTTCGATAGTTTTAGGGGGCATTTCGGTAATTTCCAGGGGCATTTCGGTAAATCAGGGGCATTTCGGTAATTCGGGTTACCCATCAGTAAGATACAAAATTTTATAATCTACCTATGAATAGATTCCCTGAGGCAAAAAAAAAATCGTTCACTGCATGATTTTACATTACATTAATACGCTCTTTTAATTTACTCGTAATTAAATATAACTATACTAGGTTATAAAGCTTATGCTTTCTTAAATACATAAATAAACTATTTCATGGAATTTCAGGAAATTCAATATGGCGGATCAGCATGAGGTTTCCAAGAAAAGCTATCGTGCAAGAGAAACACAAATCCACACCTTCTGCAGCCTTTCAGTCAAGACAGCTTTTACTCCCGTTTTATCCAATCCCCTCCTCTCTAATTCTTGGCGCAAATCCACAACTCGCAAATCAGCAAGTTTCCGAGGAGTGTTTTCTGCGGCCATATCTCGCCTCTTGCGAATGTCCCGGATGATAATTCTAAAATTATAAAATTAACTTGTTCCATGATTTTCCAAAATTGCCTTTGGATATTTTTGGTAGTATGCATATTTCAAAGAAGTAAATTATTTACAAAACTTAAACTACTGTTACTTGATTGGAAATTTTAGCAAGTGAGAATCTTGCCATCAATTATTCTACATAGCATTAAAAAAAATGTGTTTGAAATATAGTTGCACGAGCTAACTCAACAATTTCCATTCAAAATGGCGACTTCCATAGATTTACATTGTTTATCAACAACAGAAAGGTAATTATTTTGGCCAAACTAATTTAAATTTTGTTTTATTTCAGTTTTCAAATGGAAACCAATATGTTTTACGGTGTGATCGATGGGGCGAGCGCAGTTGTACCATCAAAAACACTTGAAAAAATTGATCAGCCACATCAAACACGAAGCCGCACGGAACATCTCGACTAGCTGTGACGTCACACGACGTCATGGAGCACGTCGGAGCTTATGGAGACAGCTGAACCATTCTTTACCCAGAGTCGTCTTTCCCGCTACGCTCCCACATACACCTCTGTCAACGCTTGTTTTACAACATTCTTAGAAAAAATTGTAAAAGATTAAAAGTTGTAAATGTTTTATGGTATGATCGTTGGTGCGAGCGCAGTACCATCAAAAACACTTGAAAAATTGATCAGCTTCAAACATTGTTCAAACATCAAGCCGCACGAGACATTTCGACTAGTTGTGACGTCACACGACGTCACAGAGCTTGTCTGAGCTTACGGAGACAGTCGAGCATCTGTTTGAAACTATAGACCTAGTGCAATTTCGGTCGAAAAGCACAATGCAGAGTTATTTTTAGTTTCTTTGAAATATTTCTGCAAACTGAAAGCCTTTTATGCTTTACGTTATTATTTATTTTTTTATTTATTCGCGCAAAGGACATTGGGTAGTAAAGGAATTCTGGCAATGTTTCACAGAAAAATTTGCCTGACGTATGTACAGATTCCAATCCGAATTTCCTCTGTTCTTACACATTAGTCTATTGACGCTCGCTGCGCTCGCTATTAATAATTGTTTTTAATCATATTTCTTATCAGAAAAAATTATTTAATATTTTAATTTATTACACCTTAAAAGTATTTTTTAATTAAGATTTTAATTTTTACTCCTCAAAATAGTTCCTTAAAACTTTGAAAATAAGTCGTTTTGAGGGATTAAAGATTTTAAATAAATGATGAATAATCATCTTCAATGACAATTACAATAATAAATTACTATTTAAACTTCAAATTTCCACCATTTAAAATTTGTACAAGAATCTTGTACAACGAGCTTTGACAGAGGTGTATGTGGGAGCATACCGAGAACGACAACTCTGGATAGAGAATGAACAGCCTAGCGTCTGGTTGATACTATAGACCTAGTGCAATTTTGGTCGAAAAACATTGCAGAGTAATTTCTGTTTCTTTGAAAGATTTGTACAAAAAAGCCTTTTATGCTTTAGGTTCTTATTTATTTTTTTTTTCGCTCAAAGGGCATTGGATAGTAAATGAATTCTGGGAATGTTTCACACAAAAAATTGTCTGACGTATGTACACAGATTTCATATTCCGAATTTCCTCTGTTCTTACACGTTAGTTTATTGAGCTTGCTGCGCTTGCTATAAAGAATCATATGTTAGACCGTGTGACTGTTAGTGAGGGTGGAGCCGTGAAGAGAAATTAGCTACATCAGTATTATTGTTTAATGATAAATCAGTTAAATTCTAAAATTGTACATCAGTGTCAGAAAATCATAACCAAGAACTCAGTTCTTTTTAAAAACAAAAAGCCTTCCTCCTACCTAATTATGTTTCATTTAAATAATGCAATTTAAGGGTTTAATAAATCTGAAATAAGATATACATTTCATAATGAGACGAAGGGTTGTCTAGCCAGAGCACTAAAAGTCGAAGAACATAATGGGAAAAGAGAACGGCATGCATTGGACCAGTAATGAATTCAACGTACCGAGGCCCAAGAAATGTGAGACATGACCTCAGCTTAACGAAACCTCAAACTTTAATACATGTAACAGTAAACTCGTTCCCCAATATATCCAACAATAATCAACTCATAAACTTTTCTGAGCATCATTTCTTTGTCTTTCACTACTTAATTCATATACATGTACTTATTTCACAGCACTGATCTAGAAACCCCAAGTCATTACTCAACTGTTATTACTCCCAATTTATGGTCATGACATCATCTAAAGTAAGAACAATATTGTCAATACCAGATCAGAAGACGAACTTGGGACCCAAACTACAGACAGATGATCTACTTCCTGGATGAATCTAATCATCTGACCAACACTTGGCTGTGTATCACAAGTATTCAAGTATTTGAGTATGGCCGCCGCGATCGGAGGTGTGTTGACAACGCTCTCGCTCTTTTGGATTTTAATGCAGTTTAGAAGCGTTTTAGTTGAACAAGAACTGGATGAAGATTTTAAACTTGTTCCAGCTAGGGTTCTGTTGGCTAGTTTTAACACCGAAAATAATGTGTTTTGGAAAAGAAATTTTAAGTAGAATGTTTGGAAATTTTAATCGTAGCATTCAATCGTCATGGAACAAAGGCGCAGTGAGAACAAATCAGCTCTTTGCTTTACTGTGCTTATTGTTGTCGAATGATATACACTATTTTTCTTATTAATATACATTTGTTAAAGCCTCTATTAATTCATAATGTTAAGATTGTAAATATTTCCCTCCATATATTTCTTGCGTTCATGTTTAAAATTGGATGCTCAAAGAGGAAAATTCACTACTTTGCCCTACAAGATGGCAGCTAAGGGGAATAACTCCGAGGCAGAATATATGTCATAGAAAAACGGTCTCTAAAAAGTTTGCCATTGATTTCCCTTGAAATTGTACAAGAGTGCAATTCTGGGGAGGGGGTACTCTGTGTAATTCAGAGTCGGATACCTTGTGTCATTATTTTACTTTGGGCTAAGAAAAATTATTACAGAAAAAACTGCCTGTGAGGTTACACTATGATATTGGAACATTATAAAATGCTACTGAATATCCTTTTCACAGGAAGTATGTTTCTAATATGCACAATTTCTATTTTTTTCAGTGCATTTCAATATCTGAGTGAATTATATAGGGATGTTGAGAGGAAGATAAAAGCAGCTGAGTTTGATTGTTCTCAGCTGCAATTACTCTTCAAGCCATGGTAATTTATTTTATTTCTGGCAATTTATTTTCAACATTCTTGTTATGTTAAGAAGAAAACTAGTGCTACAGTATCCTAGTTCATTTTCCAGGCCTAGCAAGAGTAAAGATTCATCTGATGACAAGAAGATAGATAAGATACAGCTTAACAAGGAGGAACCTGGAGAATATCTTAAAGGTTTGAAAGAACTTTTCTCCACAATAAAATTAAAACATAATTTTTTTCCAAATCATATTGTGACATTGATTTGGGAAACAAAACTTCCTATGCATCATGAATACCAGGTAATATTTCAAATCTGAGATAAAGAGAAGTGGATACATTGAATGTGAACATGTAAGGGCATTATGACCAAAAAAATGTTTTTAAAAAACGGATGAACTTGGGCTTTACACTTTCTCGGCTAAGATTTATTGCATTTGTATTAGATTTATAAATTATCTTATTTCAGAAACCTTAACACAGGATGAAAGAGAAGCAATTAATGCCATGGAAAAGATACTTGTAAAGGCTGAAAAAGCAAGAAATTTACAGAAAAAGGCAGGTTATTATGACAAACTACACAGTAATTTATGTTAAACAAGTAGCATGGTTAAATTTAAATGGGAGGACTTAACAGTCATATTCAATGTAACTGAGAATATATTAAATGAGCCGTTCCAAGCAAAAACCCCCCTTATGTCAAAAATTTTCGAAAATGACTTTTTTCTTGTAAAATGATGCAGAACCTTATGTGAATATAACCTGTAAATATTACAGGTGTATCTCGTCCCGTTACGGATTTACAGGTATTCAAAGTATGCATCATTCATACAGCTGACGTCATATTTTATAAATTTTCTCTCGTAGCGACGTTATGAAAACACTCATTACTTATACGCAATGACTTGGTATTGTATTGCCGTTCTGACTAATATATGTGCTTATTATGTTGTAAACATTTTTTTTCTTTCTATGAAAAAGTTCAGATCATTCATCTGTAGCTGCAGATCTGTAGCTCTTCGAAAAAAAATATTATAAGAGACCGGAGAGCTACAGTGCCACTCATTGAAAAAACTGTATATTTATTGCGCAAAAAAGTGCGCTGTTTCTCGCTTTATTTCTCTATGTTTTTCAAACTGTCACATCAAAATGTTACTAAGCGTGTGATCCTAACATATTCTTTGTTTCCACAGCAAAACTTTTCTTATAATTGTTCTTAATAGCCCTCCTGGCCCTGAAATTGAGATCATCGAAAATTTCGTCTACTAGTACATGTATATATACTGCCATTTTTGTTTGCAAGATAATTCGGTCTAACAAGCTTCGTGCAGATGTAAGTTACGAGAGTACCTAATTAGATATAAAACTAAGGATTTTTTGTTTTCAAATTTATCTTTTTTTCAGTTTAAATAAGAATGTGAAAGAATTAATTCAAATACAGTTTTTTTAATTGGGTGGCAATGTAGCTCTCCGGTCTGTCAATATATTTTTTTCGGAGAGCTACAGTACTGCAGCTATCTTTTCTGAAATTAAAATTAAAAGTATGTCAGTGGAGTTCAACTATAGTCCTATAATTTGCTGATTTAGAGAAAACAACTAATTGATAGGTCTTTTATAAAGAAAAAATCACTTTCCATTTTACTGCTAAGTTCAGCACAAATCTTTTGAAACCAGCTACAAAAAAAATATTTTTGTTTCCATTAATTTATTTTGGATAATTGATTTTACTTGTCCAAACTTTGCCTTTGAAACACTGACCAAGAGACAAAATTCAGGGGCTGGGGCTTGCGCTTTTATGTATGAATACAACAACAAGATTTTGTAAAATATGGTATATCAATGTAAATGATGAGTACCATTTATCCTTTTTCAAAATGCTCAATACCTAAGCATTTTTTTGGCATAATTATGTCGTCATTTGTTAAAAAAATATTAGACGGAAGGGGGGGGATAAAAGAATAAATATATAAGTACTAGTTTAAAGGCAATTTAGACTACATATATACATGATAAATCTGTAATTTATGAAAAGTTAAAGTGTACTTTTCAGATTTCAAATTATGAAATGGTTAAAAAAAACGTGACCCGAAAAACTTAGAAAATGGGCATATGATTCAGCTTTTGAAAAAAAATTGTATATTTTCTACTTACAATCACATGTAATTAATATATAGGAGATTGTCAAACATACAGTCCCATCTATTACTTACAACAAAATTATGAGAGTCTTCCCTCTTTTGCTTTACGCATATGAAAGTGAAAGTTAGACTTATGCTTTCTCAATATTTAAGTATAGTATGCGATCCGATCTGAATTTAAAAAAAACATACATGTCACAGTTTAAAAAAACAGGTTGTTACGTGTGTATGAGGCAAGTTTCGGAGGCCAACACTTATATATAATGATGGTTCTTTTAAAATGTACCAGTTTTAGTCAAAAGCGTAAAAATACTTCACAGACAAAGAAAAACGTGTAAGTGATTAGTCACTGTGTATTTTTGTCCCCCGCTTTCGCGAAAGCGAAAGCGAGGGGACATTAAATCTCATTCGTCTGTCCGTCAGTCTGTCTGTCAGTCCGTCACAAAAACTTTAACCTTGCCCATAACTTTTGATTTAGCTGAGCTCATATTTCACAAGTGTATTCCTTGTGACAAGACCTTTCTTTGGGTACCACCAAATTTGACCTTTTGGCCTTGACCTTGGAGTTTGACCCACTTTTACACAAAAATTCAAAACTTTTACATTGGCCATAACTTTTGAATGGTAGAAACTAGGACTTCCATATATCACACATATATTGTTTGTGACAAGACCTTTCATTGGATACCAACAACTTTGACCTTTTGACCTTGACCATGGAGATTTCCGTACTTAAAAAAAACTTTAACCTTGACCATAACTTTTGAACGGTAAGGGCTAGGGCTTTCATACTGCACATATGTTTTCCTTGTAAGAAGACCTTTCATTAGATACCATGAACTTTGACCCTTTGACCTTGACCTTTGAGTAAGACTTTTTTTCAAGAACTTTGACCTTGGTCACAACTTTTGAACTGCCAATGCTAGGACTTTCATTTTTCACATATGTATTCTTTGTGGCAAGACCTTTCTTTGAGTACCACCAATTTTGACATATTGACCTTGACCTTGGAGTTTGACCCCTTTTTACACAAAAATTCCAAACTTTTTCTCGGGCCATAACTTTTGAATGGTAGATACTATGACTTCCATGTTTCATATATACATTCTTTGTGAAAAGATCTTTCATTGGATACCAACAACCTTGACCTTTTGACCTTGGAAATATTTCGTACTTACAGTGTATAAAAAAACTTTAACCTTGGCCATAACTTTTGAATGGTAAGGGCTAGGGCTTTCAAACTTTACATACGTAATCCTTGTGAGAAGACCTTTCATTGAATACCCAAAAACTTTTACCCCTTGACCTTGACCTTGGAGTTCAGTGATGATATCTAAATAAATGACATATGATAGGATGTTCATATTGCGCACAATATGTCATAAAAAATGACATCTCACCCACAAAGACACCGAAAGCGGGGGACCACAATTCCTTGAATTTGCTTGTCTTCATAGAAAAAAAACATAAAAATATCACGAAAGAAGAACGTGTTTTAGTTTACGTGCGAAATCTGCTCATTGGACTGTCTCTCGAATAAAGTTCTCATAGATTAGTAAAACATGTTCTACCCCAGTCTACCCCAAATACATGTACATACAAGTACATACAAAGAAGTTCCATTGTGTACAGAAGGGGGAGGAATGCTGGCCATTCTCTCTCACTTCATTATCAAATATTCGAACATGTGACCATCCTTACCAACTTACAAGGATTCCACGTGTTCTGAAATTGGGGGAAGAGTTGAGTAGGTTATTTTTGTGTTAGTCTTCTAAATGAAATTTACATGGAGACCGGTCCTTCGGATGAGACCGTATAAACTGCGGTCCCGTGTCGCAGTAAATGCTGGCACGAAAAAGATCCCTCACTGCTCAAAGGCCCTGAGTACCGTGAATAGCACGAAATTTGTAGCTCTCCACCGGCAAGTGGTGGCGTCTCCAAATGAGTGAAAAAATTCTCAAGAGGGACGTTTAACAACATACAAACAATCAATCTACCGCTATTTAAATTTAAACATTGAGATAGGGTCATCACCTTAAGATTCACTGTTAAGTATAAAAGAGAAACCTTTTTTATACAAGATATTATCGATAATATTTTCGACAAAACAAAACATGTCAGAAAGTTTTTCAAATCGTTCATCAAAAGTATTTATAATATGATAGTTACTCCTAGCTCTCAGATTTGCCAAGATCTAGCAATGCGGAAAAAATCAGGTTATGTTCACCTGTTTGTGGTCTTCTTGGTGAACAGTATGAACATTTATTTCTTGCTACGTTAGACGAAAAGTAGATCGGGAGAATCCAAACTTATCAAAATATTTTGGAAATGTATTTTATTTGCACTCAATTTACACTCAGGTGAACAAATATTGTGATTTCAATCATGCACATAAAAACAAATCCGGGGGTTTGCATGGGGCCCCCCTCTCTGCTTTTTTTTCTGAATTTAGATTTTAACATTTAAAACTGTTAACAATAGGGGGTTGGGGGGGGGGGGGTAGAATAACTTGACAAGCAATTATATAAATAATGTACGTGTGCACGTCAAATACGGTACTTTTCAGAACTTCCAAAATATTTATTTTAATACACATGTATTTATTTCTTTATATGCCTTATTAGATATATTCTTATATGTTTTTTCGGGGGGGGGGGGGGGGGGGGGGGTGTTACATTAGTGTTAACTAGTCATAGATCTTTTCAACACATAACAAAAAAAAGGAGAATGTCGGATATTCGTATATTCAATTAATGTAGCTTTGTTAGCTGAACCAGTGTCACTTTTCTTCCAAGAGGTTCTGGGTCAACAATAAATGAAAAAAAAAATTTCTCCGAATCTAGATACGCGTATGGCATTGGTTTGTGCAGTTTTCTTGACATGTGATTTAGTCCAATCGATTTTCGCCAGGACTACGGATTAAAAAACATCTCAAACTACTCTTCCATCATAATCATTCCCTCCAATTAAAATTAAATTTCTCATTTTTAAAAAATATTTTTACACTCAATATCATCATTACATGTAAATACTTCATGTCGTTGTTGAATAAGAAAGAGTCGTTGTAAATCTGAATTTTAAACAACAGTTGTATGTTTTATTTAGTTTAACTGAAAACTTATATTGTACATTGAACAGAATAATTGTCGAAGTGTTTACAAATTTTATGTATTTAGTCAGAACACTTTTAGGTCCTTTTAATGTGTAATGTATATGTAGTTGGACAACAGTCAGATTCAGATAATTATGTTATGAAAAAGACAATACGGTAGTCACGGAAAAAAAAATACGCAGAAAACACAACGGAGACAATTCTGAGACATACAACAAAGAATTTAGTTAGAACGCAGTCAGTGCGCGATATATTTTGATCGCAGTTTTTGTTGCGAAACAATGACGTCGCTTTTTCTATTGCGACGTAAAATTCTGTCAGATTACATAAGGGGGGTTTTTGCTTGGAACGGCTCAAATATAATACAATACAACAATGAACGAAAGAAATATACCATAAAAGTGGAAATTTTAGCAAGACGCAAATTTAGCGATTTTTCCTTAAAAACTGGTATTTTATTTTTAGCGACATGTAATTTTAGCGATTTTAAAATGCTCACTAAAGAAGCTATTAAAAGTATATCACAATTAATATTATACAATTATGGACTCTTTTGGTGTTGAATATGGTTTGTTATTCACCAATAAAATATTCAATATGGATATTTTTCTGGTAAATAACAAACCATATTCAACACCAAAAGAGTCCATAATTGTTTTATTATATAGTCGGGATTTGAATAGATAAGTCATTGAAGGCTGTATGACGACACCATTTTCATTTGCGATCTTCCATTGTTGAAAATAAAAAAAATCTCCAGATTACTGTTTGTAACCTCCGTGTTTTCCTTTCCGAGTTTCGCTATGTGTAAGACGTCCAGATGTTAAAAAATAATCCTGAAATAGGTTTGAATAATTGTTTTCCTGCTCAGATACGTAGCTCGCTGTGGCCGTTGCAACCATTGTTTACAACGTTCTTCGATGTTTTGATTGTGACGTCACAATGCCGTTGCACCCGCATTGACCCTCCGGTGAATACGGCCTAAAATCCGGTGAATATGTAGTGTTATGAACTGTTTGCGTTTGTATAGATTATATAGGGACTATAAATAGACTATATAATAATTAGTGATATTCAATTTTAGCGATCTCATTACCCTCACTAATAATGCCAAAATTAAATCCTTGCTAAAATTTCTACTTATACGGTAAAATAAACAAAGTAGACTGGTCTGGTATTCAGTGAAAAGACTCATACAATCTATACAATCAAGAGAACCCCTACCCTTACACCAGAATCCCTAATAAAAAAATCCCTGACCCAGGGGCCATGAAATTCACAATTTCAGAGGAAACACCATTGATTATTATAACCTTGTTCTTGGTGTTTATTCCAATTCCATAAGAGAAGAGACAATTTTTAAAAGAAATCTTTTTCAACATATAACAAATAGAATCCTTACCAAACAACAGAACATCTGGCCCAAGAGCCATGAATTTCATAACTTAAGTGAGGCATCCTTGTTCATAACTTTGCACTTAATCTGTTTTCTGAGTATCCAGGATCAGAGAAAAGTTTGAAAGAATTAAGGCATCTCTTACTATGTAATACATATTACATTAAAAACAGATGTTTTTAGATGACAACAAAAACATGATGTAACCTTTTATGAAATATTAACAGGCTGAAGATTGCCCAAAAAGTTACTCCAGGAAACTGTCTGCATCATCTCAAATAGAATTAACAGCAGATGAAAGGGATAAAACTAAGGATGATTCATCTAATGAAAGGATAAATTCCTTGAAAAAAGATGATGATAAAATCAAGACACATAAAGTATTAACTACGAAAGGACTTACACAAACTGCAGATACCAGAAAACCTGGAGGAATTAAAAGGCCTGTGTTATCTAATAAAAATCATGTGAAGGCACCTTTTCAAACAAATCCAAGTCTTTCATTTCCAAAAAAGTCTTCAAACCAGGAAGCCATGATCAGGGGGACAAGAAGTAAAAAGTTTGTCCCAAAAGGTGGGACAATGGCCTTAAAGAGAGGGCCTGTTGCTGGCCAGCTAAAGTCAGTCAATGAGAGGCACGGTGCACAAAACCAGAAGACGGCAAAAACTGAACTGAAGAATCACCAGGATGAAAATTGTTCTGTGATGGGAGATAAATTAGCAGAGGACACATCCCAAGAACAAACAGAGAAAGCAGAGTCACCTCCCACTCACAACAAACACCCTATACGTCACAACAAGTCTTCATCTAGTCACTCTAGTCATACTGAGTCAACATTTGTACATGGAGAGGAACAAAGAGTACCTGTTGTTAATGATTCGGCTCAGACAACAGACACAGATAAAAAAGAACCTGAAACAGTGAACAGATTTCTCTTGTTAAAAAATGGGTAAGTAGAAACAAATGTCATCCTTGTTACAAGTGAAAAATGAATAAATTACCAGAAATCAATCACATGGAGAGCATGGCATGCATTAACAAATGCTTTGTTAATTTTTAGAAGTAATATTGAGATTCCAGTGAAACTGAGGAAGTTAGTCTCTGTGAATCACAAACTCAGACAGAAATTGTCCGTCAGAAGAATGACTGAGAAGGTGGATTCCAGGAAGTCTAGGCAGGATTTTATTGACTCAGTAGAACAAATGGTAAGTATACAAGTGTAAATAAATCCTTGCTTCAAGAAAAATTAGAAAGATTGGAAAAGGGATTTCACTCATAGAGGAAATATTACTAACTCTTGTTACAAAGCTCTTCAAAGCTGAACTTTGGCATCTCAAATATCAATATCTCAAATACCATGGATATATCAAAGTGAAGTCCCTTAGCACCTTTTCTATGAATGTTTAACCCTCCAATATCTCAAACCTTTGGATATCTCTATGTTTTTCTTGGTCCCACTGATTTTGAGATAGGTTTGACTGTATATTGCGTTTGAAAATTGTGGGTTTGTGAACATATCATAGGAAATACTCATTTCTTGCAGTTTGAGTTAGATCCTGGTTATGAGGTGACTCTGTCTGTGGAGAGAGTGGAGCGGGAGTATGAGGCTCTTAGGGAGACACTGGAGGGGCTGACAACAGAAGTATCTGATGGTAGGTCTGACAACAGAATTATCTGATGGTAGGTCTGATAACAATATTATGTGATGGTAGGTCTGACAACAGAATTATTTGATGGCAGGTCTGACAGCAGAATTATCTGATAGTAGGTCTGACAACAGAATTATCTGATGGTAGTTCTGACAACAGAAATATCTAATGGTAGGTCTGACAACAGAAAGATCTGATGGTAAGTTTGACAACAGAATAATCTGATGGTAGGTCTGACAACAGAAATGTCTAATGGTAGGTCTGACAACAGAAATGTCTAATGGTAGGTCTGACAACAGAAATATCTAATGGTAGGTCTGACAACTGAATTATCTAATGGCAGGCCTGACAGCAGAATTATCCTATGGTAGGTCTGACAACAAAAATATCTAATGGTAGATCTGACGACAGAATTATCTGACGGTGGGTCTGACAACTGAAATATCTAATGGTAGGTCTGACAACAGAATTATCTAATGGTAGTTCAGACAACAGAAATATCTGATGGTAGGTCTGACAACAGAATTATCTAATGGTAGGTCTGACAACAGAATTATCTGATGGTAGGTCTGACAGCAGAATTATCTAATGGTAGGTCTGACAACAGAAATATCTAATGGAAGGTCTGACAACAGAATTATCTGATAGTAGGTCTGACAACAGAATTATCTAATGGTAGGTCTGACAACAGAATTATCTAATGGTAGGTCTGACAACAGAAATATCTAATGGTAGGTCTGACAACAGAATTATCTGATGGTAGGTCTGACAACAGAACTATCTGATGGTAGGTCTGACAACAGAATTATCTAATGGTAGGTCTGATGACAGAATTATCTGACGGTAGGTCTAAAAACTGTAAACAACAGTAGGGCAACATAATACATGTAATTCCTTTATTTTTTCCAACAAATCCCATTGAAGGATGCAACAATATCAAAGTGGCAGATAAGCAAGTTTAATACTGTATACACTATACAGGGTTATTTTCACCTTTTCACACTTGCAAACAATTTTGCCCTGTTTTAAATTTGCCCAGTCACAGTTTTGTTTAAGAACTTATACTGTATTCTTTGAATTTGCGCCTTTTAAATTCACCCAACCGAAGTTAGAGCGAAAGGGACTAAAATATAGCTGGGGCAAAAATTTCCCTGTGTACATTAGCCATTGGCTGGGTACAGTTATTTAGCCAGTTCCGAATAAGAAACCGATTCGACGGTGCCACAAATATACTAGGAATTATTTCAAAATCTAAGTGTTTTGTCAAGGTAGTTCGATGACTTGTGGAATTAAATATTGTTTCATAAAAGTTCAGCCTTCCCTCAAAAAAATTTATTTCGCAAGTTACCATAGGTGTCCATTTTACCAGTTACGAATAAGCCGACGGGTTCCGGATACCCTAGAGATTCTTATTCAATTCAACCCTAAATTAAAAGATATACGTCCCAGACGTTATCCATTGGCATGCCTAAGAAAAGTTAAATTAATTGCTTACCAACAAATTATTTGTATTTCCAAAGGTTGAAGAGAAACTAGAGGTACTCTGTGCATTGAGCTCATTTTATGATACCCCACGCCTCCTTTATGATTACTAGTATTTAAGACAAAGTCCATGTTTTATTCTGGGAGACCCGAAATAAATGTCAGATCAAAAAGTAAAATAATAGGTCAAATTGTCACAATGCAATAAAGAATATGTGAAAGTATCATTAAATTTTATTCAGTGGTATAGGAGGAATTGCGGACAAGAGATGGATATACTTTTCAATATTACAAAGAATGGCAGTATCTATGTTTTTCTCAGGGAGCCCAAATTATGTACCAGATCCAAAAATAAAATAGGTGCACTTTGGCACTGTTAAACAAAGATTCTGTGAAAGACTCATTAAATTCTGTGAAGCCTCATTAACCTTCATTCAGTGGTAGAAGAGGGGTTGCGGATAAGAAATGGATACCCCAGAGCATATCAGACGGACGGACGTACAGCTAGACGGACGGACGGACGTACAGACGGATGGATGGAATAACATCCCATTACTATATACCGTTTCTTCCTGTTTTTCAAGCGGGGGTAGAATAAGTCACGTTTACAATGAAGAAAACATCGAAGAGTGAATTAATAATAGTGTTTAAAATGGGTATTCGGAACTGGTAAAATAAGAGCACGAAAATATTTCGATATCTTCCAGTATTCTAAACATTTATTTTTGACAAGTTTTTAGTATATGTTAGAGTACATATCAAACTTACTTTTGATACCTAGAACGTTGTTTTATATGAAAAATTTATGCATCTACAGAGGTTTTTCTGCAGACTTACGCGTCGCGGTGATTCAGATTTGTTGCATTGTAAAAGTATGTCGACTGTTTCAAGTACGATAACGAAACCAAACTGAGGGCAAAAAATCAAAACTTCACATAATTCAAACACTCATTAATAAGCCTTCTTACCATAGAAATCAATTTATTTTTACACCGTTGAATTTATTAATTATCAGTCTTTAAATTACTAATTATTCGGAACTGGCCAAAATCCAGAACTGGCCAAACGACTGTAGCTTAATAGAGCTCCTGACTAGGGATTCAAGTGCCAAGGTCTAAATTCTTTGGTGCCATGATCTTGTCTGGAAGCATCCTTGCAATGCCATGGGTCCTGAGTCAACACTATAGCTCAGTTGGTAGAGCACCTTACTAGTGGATAATGGTCTCCTGGTTAGAATTCTGGTCTTGTCTGTCACCTTTTTCTTCTTTTGGTTGCATTGATGTCAATTTTCAGTAATGAGATTCAAGATATTTGACTCTAAAAAGAGGTTCTCAATACTGTAAAATCACATACATGTATTTTTGTGGGGTCAAATTTTCGTGGTTTCAGGAAAATCTCTTGGTTTGTGGGGATTTGTTTTCATGGATCAAGAATTAATGAGTACTTATGTATGTAACATTTTACATTTCGTGGTGGACATGAATTCGTGGGTCTCTTCATACCTCGAAAACAACGAAAAATACCCCTCCCCCTTCTTGTGCATTTTATGCTTTAATTACATGAATAATATATTGGTATCTACCTCAGATGAAACTCATGCATTTGAAGTGCTAAGAACAAAGAAGATGCTGGAATTAGTTCTGACCAGATTTTATCAACTTCAGGAGGAAGTGTCCATACAAAATACAGGTAGGAGATATTAATGGAAATTATGATTGCAGCTGAAGTCACTGCAACATCGGGTGTTAATCTTTCACTCAGTATCTTTAGGCTCATTTTAAATTTAGACCAGAGATAGTGTGATTAAGTTCAAAAAGATATACCCCCAGTAGCAATTTTTAAGAAGGTCCTATTCAAAACTTTCTAACCTTGAGCTTACAGACATTACCTTGAATTAAAAATAAAAAGATATGTTCTCTGATCATAAGTAATCTGTGAAAAACAAAATGGAGGGAGATGTGGAGGTAGATATTAACATTAGCATTTTCATTATCCAAAGGAATAAGCATACCTTGCTTTACACTCTTGGCATACCTTTATTTAACAGAGTAAAGATTAATTATAATCCTCACCAAGTCTTGAATTTTTGTTCTCAGTAAGATGATCACCCTGTGATTGCAAGCAATTTTAGATCTGTTAGACAGCTCCTACAATAGAAGCAGACACAGATAAATGGCTTACAATGTTTAATTGTACTTTCTCTTCAGATCTCGGTCACCTGAATCTCCTCAAACCTGACCCCCACAGAGGCCCCTCACCCCCAGGCAGCAGGTCAGCCATGGTGTGGTCTGACTGTATAGGTAACATTATTGGCTTTTATCAATCGTGTTAAAGAATTAAATAATTTGTCTACTTTGATTTTGTTTTAAATTTGTCCTTTGGCTTGGAGAGCAAAAATAAGATGGAAGAGAAAAATTCCTATATAAACTGTATTGTATATCATTTACAGATAAGTACACCCTACCTATACTGAATCACCATGTACAGTACCACTCTGACAGACAGTTAGAGTGCTATCTCCATCTGGTGTTTCAGCTTCAGTATAAACAACTTGTCAATAAACTCCAGAGGATCCTCGTATCTAATATCACAGATCTAATGGAGACTGCTGATCTCTCTCCAGGGTAATGGCACCATTGATTATCATATTCCCTTCTCTCTCTTTATTGATGTATTACTGGTTCTGTATTTTCTATTTTTTTGTTTGCAGTGATTATATGCAGTTGCTGAGGTCCTTTTGTTTTACAACAGACTCTAAAACCTACCCTGTAGTTGTTAAGGACACCATGGAAGGCTCAGTACAGTCCTCGGATTGACTAAAGATAAATTAAAGCTTAACTTGTTATCCCTTTATACTTTATAGACATGTTTAAAAATATTATTTTTATACAGTAAATATTTATAAATTATTTACATGTATTTTGTATTTTCTTTTATTTATTCTTTCAAATACTTACTGGTACTTTTGATAAAGCCTTAAGCCTCATTTTCTTATCAATCATAAACTCCAGACATTTTAAGTTAACGGTTTTAATAGGGTATCAGTGACCTTGAGTGAAGTTTATGAATGCAATATACAAATATTGACTGGGGTTGAGGGCAACATTGATTATGTTAGCCTCCAAGGGAACCACTGGGCTAAAATATATAAAAATATATTAGGGATGTCAATTTTACTCGGACAGCTTAGTCGAATAGTCGGATGCTTTAGTCGAACGATAGTCGAATATTCGTTTAATTTTAATTATTTTTTCATATCATTTTCATTGTTTGTCTTTTACAGACTAGTTTACAATATTTAAGAATAATTTAAGTTTAACCTACGCTATCACCATTATACAACGAATATCTGAATTGTAAACATGTACGTAGTGCAGTTATAGAAACTAGCTGTTCATCAATATGTATCCAATGTATTTAATTTCAAAATTAATATATTAGCTGCACATTTTATCTAAATGCAGGATATCAAATGCTCATATTTGTCCTTTCTTTACATAACAGTAGTACATGTATCCCATAATTGAAGCCAATTTCTATGTGTCCGTCAATGATCTTTGACTTGTAAACAATTAAAGCGTGTCTCTTATAAAATCAAAGAGAGAGTGAGAGCTTGGGATAAATCTTAATGAAATTTTGTGCAAACAATCAATGATTCTATGAAATTAATACATGGTTTAATTACTCTCATAACTAACCCCAATTTACATGTATTTACAATTTTTTGATAGCCGTTTAATTAATATTCTTTCTGAATAGTTTTATCACGTCAGATCTTAGTTTGAATCTATAAAACTAAACAAATGCCCTCCCCATTTAAAACAGTAAGAGGCAGACAATTATTAATAATTAATAAACATGTTTGATTTTCTTTCCCAATGTGCTTTTTTGTCATTTTTGTGGAGAACTTTACTTTTGGAAAGTTTTACTTAAAGACTTTGTATATGTTTGACTGATTCGGCATATGATACATCATGTTCGATGTTACACTGCAGAATACAAGTTCTGTTTCACATAACCTTGATAACACTGTTTACCTTTTTTTAAGCTATACCAAAACTGTAGATTTTGAAGACATGTTTGCCCGACATACATCGACGTACAAATAATTTCCTTGAACAGTTATACCATACCGTTAATTTTACATATGAAAATATTGATCTGTAAATAAATAAAATGGGCAAATATAAGTTTATTGCATTGAATTCAAAATTACTTTGATGAAACACATTTTTAATGAATAACCAACTAAAGAAATTTTGGTTGATAGTCGATAAGATCGAACGATAGTCGAGTACTCGAATATTCGTTGACATCCCTAAAATATATAAAACTTATGTAAGAGCTTCCTGAAAAAGTGTAGATTTATTGGAAATTTACTTGAAAAATGTTTTAAAATCTTCTCAAGGAAGACCAGGCTCCGGGGCCATAAAACTCAGACCAACTCACTGTTGATCTCGGTCTAACTTTTCCTCTATATATACTGGTATGTATTCCTATTGCAAATTTAAAAGTGAGACTTAGATCAAAAGTGAGCTTGTCTAAGTTTTATTGCTCCAGAGCCCGGGTTCAGTTAAACCACATTAATATGAAAAACCTTGGGTGATGCAGATTAAAGTTTGTTGATATCATATTGTGGGCTTTAAATGGCCTTTTAAGTAAATAAAGGATCTTGAACTTGGGACTTTGAGCAAGCACATTTTTTAAAACTAGTACCAGTAATTGTTAATGCACTTAATGAAATATGCAAGCTTGAGAAGTCTCAAGTTTTATACATGTACCTTTATGAACTTTTCCTAAAATAGAAAGACATTTTTACGAATGGTAATTTTTGTGGCTTCAACTTTCCAAAGATGTTATGTTTTTGATATAGACGGGGATTATGCCTGTGAAACATTACTTGAGCTCTCTACTTAGGATTAATTGTGACATCAAACTTCCAAAAAAGAAAATATACACATAATTTGTACTCTCAACATATACTTTTATTTACAAAATACTGTTTATTCCCAATAATATCACACTTATAATTTAATGAACAAAGGGCAAGGAAACAATCCAAGCAAAAATTTAACCCCTTTGTAAAGTATAATTGAAATATATCTAGTTGGTTTTGCAAACACATTTGATGAGGCATGATTTTCAAGATATTATGTCAGCAAGTTTCAAGAATAAAAATGTTTCACAACATTACATTGATGAAGGTGCAGTGCAAGCTTTGATCCAAAAAGATCTAGACAGACAGAAGCAGTGTAATTTAGAGTCTATAGGGGGGCAGCTGGAGGGTTACTGGTAGCCCTGCAGTTTGAGTGAAGTTGGGTATCGTGTGCGGACGCTGACACACTTGTCCCTATCAATAAATATACTGTTCTTCTTGCAGGCAATCTCCTTCTCTAGAGCCATTCTGTTGTCCTGAAGGTCTTTTCTGGAGTTCTCGGCATTGTTTAGTTGTTCTGCTAGAGCATCAATGGACTGTGCAATTTCATTCACTTCACCCACAAGTCTAAAATGTTAAAAACAACAATTATTTTTCATATCTTTCTAAGGTAATGATATAATTTTGCATTTTTAAAATGTTATATGAAACTATTTGGGGAAGAGAAATATTTTTAACAACAAATTCAGTGTATTAAGATCTTTTGATTAAGAGAACCATAGATTTAAATTCCCTGCTGATATACATGTAACTAAAAGTGAGCATAGAGAATAGGCTTACTTGTATTGCACGGGGTCTCTGCAGAGCTCCACACCGGGTCTGTTGGTGCGGTTGTTGAGGCGGGTCTGGGACACCTTCATTGGGTTCTCCTTGTCGCGGATAGCTTTCCTCAACATATCAATGTTGTTCTCCATCTGGGCAATCTCATCACAGATCTTCACAAAAGAAAATAAGAGTATTAAAATAAACATCCCTTTCACATACCGTAAAAAATGCTTGGAGCTGTTTGAATGATAGAAAATAATGAGTGGATAATTAAAGCTTTAAAAAGGGTGTGATTTGCTGTATAACTGTAAATTTCTGAAACCTTTCTGAGATTTTCCTCCATTTTAGCTTTAGAATCTTCCATTTCCTCCAAGCGTTTCTGGAAGCAGACATCCACTGTGTCACACTGCTCCCTCATGTCTCGAGATGTATCGGCAAGGATATTATCAATCAACTGTCTCAGCTGAATGGACGCCATTCTCTCATGTTCTCCCCGGACAATGTTGTCATGTGTAAACTGGGCCCAGGACTCAGGTGTAGATTGGCTGTAAAGTTCAACAAATTCATTAGATAAAATAAGATAAGAAAATTTGATTGAGACCAATCAATATAAAGAGTATTCTCATTTTTTTTTTCAAACAAGCTTTCTTACATCTCCTCAAACTTGGCTGCTCCTGAGTAGAATTGTTTGTCTGTGTGTTCGTTTCTAAGTGCTCCAGATTTGGTGTCAATCTCTAAGGCCTCCTTCTTATCACTCCAGTCCATTTCAAGGTTCTGTTTAGCTTCTCTATTTAATCTGAATGAAAATAAAACACAATGAAGATTTTTTTTATTTGAAATTACCCTTAAAAGAGAACTTTATTAATGCCTTGAATTGAATACTTACTTAATTTGTTTATCGGACTGTTCAATTGTTTTCTTGAGCAAGTCTTGAACATTGTTGATTATTTCAACTTCCTGCAATTGAATTTATAAATGATAATTTAGTATTTTAGTTATTGTACAAAAATACCTCAACTTGCACTATATGCAATGAAACAGCCATATCTGCCCACTTGGCCTATAGATAGCCATTCTCATTCTTATCTATTATTCATAACCTTGTACTGATATATTATAACTTTGTTAGGAACAAATCTGTTCAAACTTGATTTAAATGTGTGAACTATTCATTATTAGGCACAATTTACTACATATGATCATATCATATGGTAGGCTAATCTTCATTATGCAGTTTTTAAAAAGTATATATTTCATTTCTTCATTGTATAGATATCAATGAAAAAAGAATACCTTCAGTAATCCAAGTTCAACATCATCCTGCACCAAATCCACACCTTGTCTTCTCTGTCTGCAATTCAAGTTATCTGTAGCTATGTGAAGGGGAATTTCTGTTGCACGGAGTCCATTTTCTAACCTTTTCTTCTGTGCCAGGAGCAGATCTGTTTCAGCGATTACATCTTGAATTTCTCTTTCTAGTTCAAATTTCCAAAAGTTAATGTCTTGAATTCTCTCGCCAAGTTTCTTGGTCACCTCTGCTTGCGTTTTGTTTGTAGTGGCTTCTGTTTCATTAGCTGTTCTTTTGGACTCGTGGCGAATTCTCTCAGCACTATCTCTGTCGACAAATGATTGGTAATACTTAGCATAATTGCTTTCATGCCACTCTGGAGGGTTGTATTTCGCAGCCCTGAACCCCATTGTTGAGATTCCCATGTCGTTTCCTGTGTTACCAGTGTATGTTATTTCCATATCAGCATTACGAGATCCTCCTGATGTTTCGGCGATTTGCACTTGTGGTCTCTCCGGAGGGATCTCCCTGCTCATTAATGTCGCTGTTGCCATGATTTTATGTTTATTCCAATTTTTTAAAGTTCGCCACTACTGTCACACTTACATGTGACGAGAAACTCCACTAAAAGACTAGAGAAGTATACCTCACTGCTAACCCGATAATATGGTTGTTGATGGTCGCTATGGCAGACGCGACTTCCGGGGTAGTCAAGAAGATCACGTGGCTAATTATAGAGGAGCGATAACTCTTGAATGATTTTTTTTTTATTACACGCATTTAAAAAAAAAAAAGAAATAAACGCTAAATATGCTTTATCATAATTATTAACTACTATTTCACATTACTGTATTAAACATCAGATTCCCCAAGAGAATGTTATTTTAAAATATATTTTTGAGACAAAATAACTTCAAAATATTTTTCTAATCAATGCGCTGAATGATTTTGTTTATTAACGAATACACTCGAGGGACAAATGACTTACTGCACTAAAACCTACCTAATATTGAAACCCATTTCCAAAGAAGATTGTAGCTTACTCTGAGGGGGTTTTACTCCAAGACCTGCACCGCATCCCCCCCCCCCCCCCCCCCCCATCATGCTTATTCTTCACTGAAAACTTCAAAAACTCCAGAAAGGCGACAACCTTGATTTACTTTATTTTACTGAACTGTTGAAAAAATAATGCACAGCTACTGTATGAGCAATCTCGGTGGATATAATGTAACCAATCTCGGTGGATATAATGTAACCAATCTCGGTGGATATAATGTAACCACTGGCGGATTTAAGGGGGGGGGGCGTGGGGGGCGCACGCCCCCCCTAAAATTTTCAAATTATGATATGACTAATATTAAAAATGCCATATTTTGGTATATAACTAACCAATACGTCTTTGATATACATATCATCAAAACAATTTTTATTGTGCCGGTTTTACTCTTTTAAATACACCAAAACCCCAAGTCCAAGAGCTTCCGGGGGCTTCGCCCCCTGGGCCACCATCATGCAAAGTACGTACAGTATGATTAGGTGTTAATAATGCCGTACTTTGGTACATAACTCGTCAATACCACTATTAGTAAGTAAGCAAATCCTTTATTATAGCAGGGAAATATATACTAACGGGATAGGCAACTCCTTCATCGCCATGTGTATTTACCCAAAACATCATGCACACCACTACAAATTTTTCAAACTACTTTTATTTTATCATAAAATTCTCAGTAAATAGGGTGTTTTCTGATTAATATCACTTATTCATTTTATGTATTGGAATTGATTTTTAATAAATTTTAAAGCATAAATTATAATATAATTTAAGTATTTAGAAAACAAACACCGAAATCGGTGATTTCTCGGAAATACGGCTGATCATGGGCATGTGCTGATTTTTAATAAAAAAAAATTACTATTAAGCTTAGGAATATAATCTGTGCTAGAAAACAAATCTTGAATGATTTTTTGGTAGATAATTAAAGGTTTTGATCTGAAATATGTGATAGCATAAGAGATATAATTAATTAAAGTTGACTTACGAAATCCTGTCAGTATATAGGTCCCTGATTATAGTGGCATGTGTTATGATACAATACAAGGAGGAACATTCAATATAATTAATATTCAAACACCCGGACCTATATATGTCACTTTTCACAAAAATAAATGAAAAATATACTCTATTATAGTGTCTGGTTTACTCTTAAAAATACACGAAAATCCAGGAGCTTCCGGGGGCTTCGTCCCCTGGACCCCCACAAGGGCTTCGCCATGGACCCACTGGGGGCCTTAAGGCGGCCCCCAGACCCCGTGCCTCAAAAAATTTTCCACGCCCCCCCCCCCCCTAATCTCAAATCCTGTATCCGCCCATGGTAACAAATACAGTATAAATGCACATAAATTCATTTCACTGTAGTAAAGAATCTCTGATCGGTCAAATGCAGAAATAAAATTCAACACACACCTTTTTTAAAAAAATCCTCTTCTATTTTTTGTTAGAAAGTTACATACTCTTCTAACAATTTTAATACTTCGAGTGTTCATTACATGTCAGCGTATGCCAATGATAGGATTTTCCGTCAATTTAAAGAAAGAGTATTAAATATATCTTTTCGGTGAAAAAGTTGGCAAGAATGATATTTCATTTGTGGCCTTATAAGTATTTCTACATTGCAATATGAGAAATAATTTGTAATTTTGATAGATTATTCTTTAATTGACATGATAGCGTGTTTTTCCTGTATCGTTCTTTGAATAATACTCGTGGTAGTTTTGCAATTTATATTCCTTTAATATATTATAATACTTTAAATAGTTATTTACCCAAATTTGATGTAGAAATGTTCTTTAATTATCCACACGTACCTTTTCAAAATCATTGGAATTGTTTAAGGTATTTTGAGATTAGATGAATCGGATTTTATGCCCCCCCCTTTAATCAAAGATTCGGGGCATATTGTTTTTGCCCTGTCCGTTTGTTTGTTCACAAGAACTTCAGCCTTGCCCATAACTTATAATATGATTAGAGCAATGGCTTCTACATTTCACTGGCATATTTCCTGTGATTACATTTCCATAGTGGTACCAACATTTATAACCTGTTGACCTTTCAATTTGACCAACTTTTGCAACTTTTTGTATTAAACATCAGATTCGCCAAGAGAATGTTATTTCAAAATATATTTTTCAGACAAAATAACTTCAAAATATTTTTCTAATCAATGCGCTGAATGATTTTGTTTATTAACGAATACACTCGAGGGACAAATGACTTACTGCACTAAAACCTACCTAATATTGAAACCCATTTCCAAAGAAGATTGTAGCTTACTCTGAGGGGGTTTTACTCCAAGACCTGCACCGCAAATCCCCCCCCCCCCCATCATGCTTATTCTTCACTGAAAACTTCAAAAACTCCAGAAAGGCGACAACCTTGATTTACTTTATTTTACTGAACTGTTGAAAAAATAATGCACAGCTATTGTATGAGCAATCTCGGTAGATATAATGTAACCAATCTCGGTGGAAATAATGTAACCAATCTCGGTGGATATAATGTAACAAATACAGTATAAATGCACATAAATTCATTTCACTGTAGTAAAGAATCTCTGATCGGTCAAATGCAGAAATAAAATTCAACACACACCTTTTTAAAAAAAATCCTCTTCTATTTTTAGCTCACCTGAGCTGAAGGCTCAAGTGAGCTTTTCTGATCACATTTTGTCCGTCGTCCGTCCGTCTGTCCGACCGTCTGTCCGTCCGTCTGTCTGTCCGTCTGTAAACTTTTCACATTTTCGACTTCTTCTCAAGAACCACTGGGCCAATTTTGACCAAACTTGGTACAAAGCATCCTTGGGTGAAGGGAAATTTAAATTGTTAAAATGAAGGGACATATCCCCTCGCAAGGGGAGAAAATCAAGAAAAGACAAAAATAGGGTTGGGTCATTAAAAAATCTTCTTCTCAAGAACCACTGGGCCAGAAAAGCTGAAACTTATGTGGAAGCATCCTGGGGTAGTGTAGATTCTAAATTGTTCAAATCATGACCCCCGGGGGAAGGGCGGGGCCACAATGGGGAATCAAAGTTTTACATAGAAATATATATTGGAAAAATCTTTGAAAATCTTCTTCTCAAGAACCACTGGGCCAGTAAAGCTGAAACTTATGTGGAAGCACCCTGGGGTAGTGTAGATACTAAATTGTTCAAATCATGACCCCCGGGGGAAGGGCGGGGCCACAATGGGGTATCAAAGTTTTACATAGAAATATATAGGAAAAATCTTTGAAAATCTTCTTCTCAAGAACCACTGGGCCAGAAAAGCTGAAACTTATGTGGAAGCATCCTGGTATAATGTAGATTCTAAATTGTTCACATCATGACCCCCGGGGGAAGGGCGGGGCCACAATGGGGAATCAAAGTTTTACATAGAAATATATATTGGAAAAATCTTTGAAAATCTTCTTCTCAAGAACCACTGGGCCAGAAAAGCTGAAACTTATGTGGAAGCACCCTGGGGTAGTGTAAATTCTAAATTGTACAAATCATGACCCCCGGGGGAAGGGCGGGGCCACAATGGGGTATCAAAGTTTTACATAGAAATATATAGGAAAAATCTTTGAAAATCTTCTTCTCAAGAACCACTGGGCCAGAAAAGCTGAAACTTATGTGGAAGCATCCTGGTATAATGTAGATTCTAAATTGTTCAAATCATGACCCCAGGGAGAAGGGCGGGGCCACAATGGGGAATCAAAGTTTTACATAGAAATATATAGGAAAAATCTTTGAAAATCTTCTTCTCAAGAACCACTGGGCCAGAAAAGCTGAAACTTATGTGGAAGCATCTTGGTATAATGTAGATTCTAAATTGTTCACATCATGACCCCCGGGAGAAGGGCGGGGCCACAATGGGGAATCAAAGTTTTACATAGAAATATATATTGGAAAAATCGTTGAAAATCTTCTTCTCAAGAACCACTGGGCCAGAAAAGCTGAAACTTATGTGGAAGCATCCTGGTATAATGTAGATTCTAAATTGTTCAAATAATGACCCCTGGGGGAAGGGCGGGGCTACAATGGGGAATCAAAGTTTTTTATAGAAATATATTGGAAAAATCTTTGAAAATCTTCTTCTCAAGAACCACTGGGCCAGTAAAGCTGAAACTTATGTGGAAGCACCCTGGGATAGTGTAGATTCTAAATTGTTCAAATCATGACCCCCGGGGGTAGGGCGGGGCCACAATGGGGTATCAAAGTTTTACATAGAAATATATAGGAAAAATCTTCTTCTTAAGAACCACTGGGCCAGAAAAGCTGAAACTTATGTGGAAGCATCCTGGTATAATGTAGATTCTAAATTGTTCAAATAATGACCCCCGGGTGAAGGGCGGGGCCACAATTTGGAATCAAAGTTTTATATAGAAATATATAGGAAAAATCTTTGAAAATCTTCTTCTCAAGAACCACTGGGCCAGAAAAAGTGAAGCTTATATATATAGAAGCATTCTAGGGTAGTGTAAATTCTAAATTATAGGAATCATGACCCCCGGGGGAAGGGCGGTGCCATTATAGGGAATCAAAGTTTTACATAGAAATATATAGGCAAAATCTTTGAAAATCTTCTTCTCAGGAACCACTGGGCCAAAAAAGCTGAAACATATGTGCCCATGGAAGGATCATGGGTTAGTGTAGATTTCAAAATGTCTAAAT